GGGCCACACTGACTCCACGACTCCATGGGGACTCCGTTGCTTGGAACAATCGACCATCTGTTGCGGCAGCATCTGGTGATCCTCTCAAGGCAACTGACCCTGAGAAATGCAAAAATATCAAATGTAAACTTGAGGAACAAGCTCAGATCCACTGGTCACATCAATATCAGTCTTTCCCAACAGACAACTTATACACCTGCTTCTCCTTGTCCCTCACTCCTACAGTCCCCAGGGGAGGCAACGTGCTGGACCTCAGTTCCAATGAGAGCGACGGTATGAGTTTTCACTCATTTTGCTCAGCTTTTCCAAGGAATGTTTTTTTGTAGGACTCATCATCGATCCAAGCACATTTGAAGAGGCAGGATGTTTAACACCACAGGCTGGGCAGTGGGTGAGCCGATAACCTTAAAGACTTCGGCCATGCCCTTAATGGCCTGCTGAGGAACCGCTCCTTGTGAGTCTCAGAAACCTGAATGACACTCCCACTCATATGGGGCAGATGAATGCTTACCGTTTTGAGCTGTCCGCCAGCACGAGGTGCACTGTGGATGCCAGGTCACACCAAATCCAGGACTCCGTGCGGCCTTCACTGCTTGGAAAATCAACTATCTTCCTTGCCAGCAGACTGTAGGCCCCCATGGCAAGTGCCCCTGAGTAGTGTAAAGAAGCCAAATTAATGTTTGAGAAATGAGCCCAGGTCCACTGGTCACCACTCCAATGTCATTGTTTCCCACAGAGCAACTCGCAGGCTTGCTTTTCGTTAACGTCCATTCCATGAATATACCTGACCCGTGTCACTCTGTGGACACCTAGGAAGCATCTGTGACCAAAACGACAGGATGCACCCACTGTTGAATCTATCTGCCTGTGTCTGTGCGCGCCTGTCTTTGTATGTGTGCGTGAGAGTAAGTGTTATCTGTGTGTGTATCACTCCCTTTCGCTTCTGTGTTTACCACCACCGCAGGGGCAGGCATGGTCGGCAGCCTCCAGAGCTGGATGCCCCCACAACCCAAAGGCTCAAGACCCAGGCCTTTAATCAGCAGGATGTAAACTTTGACCTTGAGGCCATGCAAACATAGGCCGGAGGTTCCTTGTCTATCAGCCACAACCCCTGGCATGAGCACACACTGCTATTCATGGGACATCCGATGTCGTGATCAGACACTGTCTCTGGTCACCATGTCAGGTGAGGTGCACATAGTGGAAAACCAGTCACGACCACTGCTGGGTACGGGTGCCTTAGCAAAGTCCAGCACATAGGTCTGAAACTTGGCATCAAGGCCAAAAGCAGTCTTCCTAACCAGGCAAACCACCTCAAAATGCGGGCCTTCTCCCCTCCACCCAGTCCATATGCCCAAACTGTGCCCTCAGGATACCCAAAGGGAATGGCTACTTCTCCAATGGGACGTCTCTGCCTGACCCCCACCTCCCCCAAGGACCAGGCTGACAGGACACACTGCCTGTCATCATTCTTGCATTGGACACATCTACAGGGCTTCTCTGCAGTGACCTCTGAGGTGATATCGCCTCACACAGCCAACCAGACTGCACTACCACCCACCACAGTGCCTGCAAGTCAGCACTGCCTCAACACCACTGGGTCTACATGCACCTGCCTGCTACGTGAGCTATAAGCTGTAGAACCACCAATCCTTTCCAGCTCTAAGCCAACCATGTGCCCTTCAAAGTGGCATGCCTGTCCTGGCTACCCTGAGACTTCAAAACAGTTAAGGGAACTGAAACGCTTCATCGTGCCTACGGTGTAGCAGAATCCAAAACTGGAACATTGCCAACAAGCCGAGGCATGGAGGCATCCCAAATCAAAGAGACTCTCTGTGGCCAATGCCCCTGGGACTGCATACGTGCTGCCCAGAACGCACACAGACCTCCGTGGATGGCCCCAAGCATGACTGGAGCCCACTAGAGAGTCATGGACCAGGGCCAGGACCAGGACACATTCCCTCTGGGTGCCTTTGGAATGGAAATTGCTTTCCAAGTGGCAAAGAGGAAACCAGAGCAGTATATGCTCACATGAATTGCAGCAGGTGGGGCTGCCAGAAAATGTGGGCCAGGAGACCATTTCCAGGAAGATGGGTACAATGGTGGAGCCCACTACTCTGCTGGGAAGACCAGAAGTGACCCAGGGCTACGGACAACACCCCAACACTCACTTGCCCAGAGACAAGCCCTCAAAGACCCACCATGGCTATCCTGTGGTCCACCAGAGGAATCAGGAAAGCTCATCACTGCCAAATGGCAGCCCGAAACCACTGACGACATACATGTCCACACAACGCTCTACTGCCTTTTCTCTGTGGTACCGTCCTGCTCAGGACTTAGCCACTGTAACACAGACATCTCATGGCTAGGGATGCGAAGAAATCCATGCCAGGGGGCACCTGTGACCAACCCTGGAAGGAGGGCTGAAGAGGATTTAATGGTCTGCAGCAACACCCATTGCTCTGCACTCTCCTCCATCACCTTGGAACTACCCTGTCATCAGCTAACAGAAAATGAAGGCCGAGGTCTGCCTGAAGGCTGGGCCTCGTGCTCTCCTCAGCAGGGGAACCAGAATGCGGTCCTGTGCGTAGACACCCACTGTGAGGTCTGGGACTCCCTTCCTGGGAGTTCACCAAGCCAAGGTCAGCCGTACACTGCCCTAGGTCAAGACATTTCTGCCTATTTCCGCGGCCACCAAGACATCACAGAGTGGCCGATCATCCCCACGACTTTCCCATCAGTCTATGTTACACAAAGAGAATGTTCCTAATGTCTATGATGGGAGACTTTGAGTTGTAAACGTGCTGGGTGATGGAACCATGGGGACTAGTGGAAGATGTCCCTCACTATTAGAGTACCCAGGGGAGGCAATGTGCTGGACCTCAGTTCCGATGAGAGCGACGCTATGAGTTCTCACTCATTTTGTTCAGCTTTTCCAAGGAATGTTTTTTTGGAGAACTCATCATCGATCCAAGCACATTTAAAAAGGCAGGATGTTTGACACCACAGGCTAGGCAGTGCGTAAGCCAATGACCTTAAAGACCTTTGGCACCCTGTGGAACCCAGAATCACGCCACTGAGCAATGGGCACAGAATATTAATTCAGGAAGTGGAACTTGCCACGCCATTTGTGGTTGGCTGAGACACAGCTCTTTGCAGGTCTCAGAAATTTGAAAGACACCTCTGCATGCAGGGCAGAGAAATGCTTACCATCCTGAGCCACCCACCAGCACGGGGTGCACTGTACATGTCAGGCCACACCGAATCAAGAAGTCAACACAGCCTCCGTTGGTCAGAAGAATCGAACACCTTCCTTTCCAGCAAGCGATGGATCTGTCATGACAACTGCTCCTAAGAAGAGTAAAGACATCAAATGTATGCTAGAGAAATGGGCCCAGGTCCAATGATCAGCACTTCAATTCTCTTCAACGTGCTGGACCTCAGTTCCGATGAGAGCGACGGTATGAGTTTTCACTCATTTTGTTCAGCTTTTCCAAGGAATGTTTTTTTTGTAAGACTCATCATCGATCCAAGCACATTTGAAGAGGCAGGACATTTGACAAACAGGCAGGGCAGTAGGCAAGCTGATGACCTTACAGGCCTTCGGCACCTTGCAGAAACCATAGCTATGCCACTGAGTAATGGTCATAGACTGTTCACTTTAGGAGTGGAACTACCATACCATCAGCGAGAAACAGCTCACTGCGTGTCATGGAAATCCAAAAGGTATCCTCACTCAGCACAAGGGGCAGAAAATGCTTACCGTCCTGAGCCACCTGCCAGCACAAGGTGCACCATGGATGCCAAGCCACATTGACTCCACAACTCCACGGGGACTCCACTGCTCATAAGAATCAATCATCTGTCATGCCAGCAGGCGGTGGGCCTCTCAAGGCAACTGCCCCTGAGAAGTATAAGGATATCAAATGCACGCTTGAGGAATGAGCCCAAGTACACTGGTCACGTCAATGTCATTCTTTCCCAAGGAGCAATTCGTACACCTGCTTCTCCTTGCATTCCACGACTGACTTCCATCTCCATGAATATACCTTGCACATGTCACTCTGTGGACACCTGCAAAAGTGCGTGTGACTGAACGACTGCACACACCTGTTGCTGTACCTATTTGCCTGTGGCTGTATACACATGTGTGAGTGTTTCTGTGTGGATGTGTGTTCCCCTTATGCACATGTGTGTCCCGTCATAGTCTGCAGCTTCCAGACCTGAATCAAACCACAAAAATCAAAGTCTCAAGGCCCCCACCTTCAATCAATAGGATGTGAACTTTGACCCTGGGGCCATGGGGAAAGAGGTCCAAGGACCTTGCATGACAGCCATCACCCCTGGCACAAGCACAGGCTTCTCCTCATGGAGCATATGATGTTGTGACCAGACACTGTCTCTGGCACCTGATGAGGTGAGATGCACCTGAAGGAAAACCAACCACCACCAAAGCTGGCGGGCTCTTTTGCAACAGCCAGCACGTTGTCCTGAAACACAAGGCTAGAGGTGGTATTCCCAACCTAGGCAAAGGACCTCAAGACATATGCTTCCTTCCTTCCACTCAATCCATGTACCCACATTGTGCTCTCTGGACACCCAAAGAAAACGGCTGCCTTTCCACAGGGCATCTTCACTTGAACCCCCACGACAGGACACACAGCCTGTCATCATCCTTGCATTGGACACACCCACAGAGTTTCCCTGCACTAACGTCGCAGACAACGTCCCATCGCACAGCCAGACAGAGTGCACTACCATCTACCCTCATGCTAGCAGGTTAACGCTGCATCAATACTACCAGGTCCACACGTATGCAGTGACTACGTGAGCTGCAAGATGTACGATCACCAATCCTTTCCCATTTTCCTGTGCCAACCATGTGCCTTTCACAGTGGCATGGCTGTCCCACCTGCACTGTGACTTCAAGCCAGCTGAGGGAGCTGAAATGCTTTGCTGTGCCTCGAAGTAGTGGAGTCCAACACTGGAACACTGCCAACACGCAGAGGTGTGGAGTTGTCCAAGTCAAGGGACTCTCCGTGGCAACGTCCCGGGATTGCAAATGCACTGCCCAGAACGCACATGGACATGGATAGCTCCATGCAGGACTGGAGCCCACAGGAGACTCTTGGGCCAGGGCCAGGGCACAATCGCTCTGGATACCTTTGTGTTGGAAAACGGGAATGCTACAGAGCACCATTTGAGCACGAGAGCTCCAGCAGGTGGAGCCGCCCAACAATGCAGGCCAAGAGACCATTTCCAGGAAGATGTGCACAATGGTGGAGCCCACCACTCTGCTGGAAAGACCAAAAGTGACCGAGGACTATGAACACCATCCTAACACTCACTCACCCAGAGACATGTCCTCGAAGACCCACCCTGTCTGACGTGTCATCCACCAGAGAAATCCACGCCAAATGAAAGCCCAATGCAGTTGATGACACTCGTTTCCACGAGAGCCCTCTAGCATCTTTTCTCTGGAATACCATTCCACCCAGCCCTCCACACCACACACAGGCATCATGGCTCAGGAGGCAAAGAAATCTGAGCCGGGGAGCCCCTGTGACCAATGCTAGGGGGAGGGCTGAAGAGGCACTGGCCATCTGCCATGGTACCCATTGCTCTGCTCTCTCCTCTATCACCCTTGCCACTCTCTTGGCCTCAGCTAAGCAAAAATCAATACCATGTTCTGCCCGAGGCCTGGCCTTCATGCTCTCCTTGGTAGCAAAACTGACACCCGGTCCTCTGTGTGGAGACACCTGCTGTGAGGTCCGGGTCTCCCTTCCTTTTGCTCACCAAATTCAGGCCAGCCACACACTCCCCTAGACTTGCGATATTTCTGTCCGCTTCCGTGGCCACCAGGCCATCACACAGTGGCTGATCCCCCTCGACGCTCCCACTCATGTACCTAACAGAGGGAATGTTCCTACAAGCATTTAACGGGAGACTTTGGATGCCCGGGTTGGGGGAGAACCTATGGGCATCAGTGAAGCTGTCCCTCACTCCTGCAGGCCCCGGGGGAGGCAACGTGCTGGACCTCAGTTCCGATGAGAGCGACGGTATGAGTTTTCACTCATTTTGTTCAGCTTTTCCAAGGAATGTTTTTTTGTAAGACTCATCATCGATCCAAGCACATTGTGAACAGGCAGAACGTTTGGCACCACAGGCTGGGCAGTGGGTAAGCCGATGACCTTAAAGACCTTTGGCACCCTATGGAACCTGGAGCCACACCACCAAGCAATGGGCACAGACCGTTGACTCAGGGAGTGGAACTTGCCATGCCATTAATGGCCTACTGGCAAATAGCTCTTTGTGGGTTTCAGAAATTTGAAAGACACCTCTGCACACAGGGCAGAGAAATGCTTACCGTCCTGAGCCACCCACCAGCATGGGGTGCACCGAAGATGACAGGCCACGCCGAATCAAGGACTCAGTGCGCCTCCATTGATTAGAAGAATCAACCATCTTCCTTGCCAGCAAGTGGTGGACCTTCTCATGAAAACTGCTCCTAAGAAATGTAAAGAAATCAAATGCACACTTGAGAAATGTGCCCAGGTCCACTGATCACCAGTTCAGTTCCATTCAATGTGCTGGACCTCAGTTCCGATGAGAGCGACGGTATGAGTTTTCACTCATTTTATTCAGCTTTTCCAAGGAATGTTTTTACTGGGGACTCATCATCGATCCAAGCACATTCCAAGAGTCAGGACGTCTGACACCACAGGATGGGCAGCAAATGTGCCGATGACATTAAAAACCTTCGGCACCCTGAGGAAGCCACAGCCGTGCCACTGAGCAACCGGTTCTATTCACTGCAGGAGTGGAACCGCCAGGCCATTAATGGTCTGCTGAGAAAGTGTTCCTTGCACCTCTTGGAACTCAGAAAACCACCCTCACTCAGCATGTGAGGCAGAGGAATGCTTACCGTTCTGGGCCACCTGCCAGAACAGGGTGCACCGTACATGCCAGGACATGCCGAATCAAGGACTCCGTAGGGCCTAAGCTGACCGAAGAATCGACCATCTTCCTTGTCAGCAGGAGGTGGGCCTTCCATGGCAACTGGCCCTGAGAAGTGTAAAGAAATGAAATGCATGCTTGAGATATAGGCTCAGGTTCACCGGTCACTTCAACGCTATTCTTTCCCGCAAGGCAACTCACATGCCTCTTCTCCTTGGCCTCCATGACTGACCTCCTCCTCCATGAGTATCCCTTACTTGTGTCACTCTGCAGACATCTAAAAGCACGTGTGGCCAGAGCCACTGCACGTGCGCACTGCCACATCTATGAGCCCGTCATTGCCTGTGGCTATGTGTGAGAGAGAGTGGGTTTGAGTGTGTATGTGAGTATGAGTGTGTGTGTGGAGTGTGAGTCTGTATGTGTGTGTCTCCCTGATGCACATGTGTGGCCTAACACTGCAATGGATGATTATGTTCTGCAGCTCCCAGACCTGATGCCCCCAGCAAACTGATCGCTCAAGACACCGGCCTTCAATCACTCGGATGTGACATTTCACCTCAGGGCCATATGGAAACAGGTCAGAGGTCCCTCACCTAACAGCCACCAACTCTGGTGGGAGCATATGCTCTTCCTCCTCCTCATGGGGCATCTAATGTCATGACAAGACACTGTTTCTGGCTGTCCTCTTAAGTGAGGCCCCCCTGGCAGAAAACCAACCACAACCAGCTACAGAGGGCACCTTCGCAAAGTCCAGCACATCGGTCTGAAACTTGGCATCAAGGCCAGAGGCGGGCCTTGCAACCTAGCAAAAGGACAGCAAGACACGCTTCCTCCACTTCACTCAGTCCACATGCCTGCAGTGTGCCCTCAGGACAGCTGAGGAAATGGCTGCTTTTCTAGCAGGACATCCCCACCTGACGCCCCAAGGACTAGGTTGACAGGACACACTGCCTGTTATCATTCTTATATTGGACACACTCACAGGGCATCCCTGAACTGACCGCAGAAGCAATGACCGATCATGCAGCCAATGTGACTGCACTACTACCCACCTTAACACTGTACCAACACCACCAGGTCTACATGCATGCAGCTGCTAAGTGAGCTGTAAGCTGTAGAACCACTAATCCTTTCCAGCTTTCCTAACTCATCCATGTGCCATTGAAAGAGGCATAGCTGTTCTGGCTGCACTGTGAATTCAAACTGGCTGAGGGAGCTAAAATGTTTCATCATGCATAGGGCGTAGCTCCAGAATCTAACACTGGAGCATGGCCAGGATTCAGAGGGATGCAGGCATCCCAAGGCAAGAGACTTTCCATGGCAACACCCCTGGAACGGCACACACATTGCCTGAAATGCACACAGACCTCCATGGATAGCCCCATGGTTGACTGGAGCCCACAGTGGGGTCCTGGGCCTGGGCTATGGCACATTCCCTCATTCCCTCTGGAAGCCTTCAGGATGGAAGCTGCTTTCCAAGTGAGAAAAAGGATCCAGAGCAGCACTTGGTCACACAAGCTGTGGCAAGTGGGGCCGCCTGGCAATGGCAGGCCAAGAGACCATTTCTAGGAATATGTGCACACCTGTGGAGCCCATTACTCTGCCAGGAAGAACTGGAGTGACCCAGGGCTACAGACAGCAGCCCAACCCTCATGTTCCTTTGAACTGCCCTTGAAGACCCCTGCTGCCTGACCTGTCATCCACCAGAGACACGGACAGCCCAGCACCAAGGAATGACAGCCCAAGACCACTGATGGCACGCCTGTCCATATGAACCCCCTACCACCTATTCTCTGAAATACCAAAGGAAACGTCATACCTGGGCCTCCACCACCACACCGTGGGCAGCTTGGAAGGATTGGGAGGCAAAGAAATCCCTGCTGCAGGGCACCCTGTGACCAGCACTTTAGGGAGGGCTGAAGAGGCTTTGGCCATCTACTGTAACATCCATTGCTCTGAGCTCTCCCCCATCACCTGTGGCACCTCCCTGCCCTCAGCTAACTGAAAATTAAGACCAAGGTCTGCCTGAGGCTGCGCCCTCATGCTCTCCTTAGCAGGGGAAATGGGAACTGGTCCACTGTGCGAGAAAGTCTGACATGAGGTCCAGGTCTCCCTTCCTAGGAGCTCACCAGGCCCAGGTCTGCCACATACTCCTCTAGGCCTGCGGTATTTCCGTCCACATCCACAGCCGCCCTGCATTTCCAGAGCAGCCAATCCCTCCATGACTCTCCTGTGTACTCCACACAAAGGGAACGTTCCTAATATGTGTGTGATGGGAGGCGTTCGCCTGTGGAAGTCCTGGGTGGTGGAACCTATGGAGACTAATGGAAGCTGTCCCTCACTTCAACAGTCCCCGGCAATGTGCTGGACCTCAGTTCCGATGAGAGCGACGGTATGAGTTTTCACTCATTTTGTTCAGCTTTTCCAAGGAATGTTTTTTTGGGGGGACTCATCATCGATCCAAGCACATCTGAAGAGGCAAGATGTCTGACACCACAGGCTGGGCAGTGAGTGAGCCAATGACCTTAAAGCCCTTTGGCACCTTGCAGAAACCAAAGTCATGCCACAGAGCAAAAGGCACACCATCCACTCTAGGAGTGGACCTTGCCATCCACTAGTGGCCTCGTGAGAAACAGCTCATTCTGGGTCTCAGAAATCCAAAAGACCGCATCACTCAGCACGAGGGGCACAGGAATGCTTACCGGCCTGAGCCATCCACCAGCACAAGATGCCCCATGGAAGCCAGGCCACACTGACTCCGAGACTCTGCAAGGCATTTGTGGCTCACAAGAATCGACCATCTTCCTTCCAGCAGGTGGTGGGCCTCCCATGGCAACTACCCCTGAGAAGTGTAAAGAAATCAAATGCATGCTTGAAAACAAGGCCTGGGTCCACTGGTCACCACTTCAATGCCATTCTTTTGACAACTTACACACCTTGCTTCTGCTGGGCTCCATGAGTGACCTCCATCTCTATGAATGTAACTTTCTAGTGGAACTCTGCAGACACTTTGGAGCTGCATGTGGACAAAATGACTGCACATACCCATTGCTATGTATATTTGCTTGTGGCTATTTGGACCAGTGAGAGTGTGTGTGTGTGTGTGTGTGTGTGTGTGTGTGTGTGTCCCTCATGCACATGTGTTTCCCAAACACATGGCTTCCCCAACACGGCAATGTGCAGTCAGAGTCTGTGGCCTCCAGGCCTGAGCCCCCACCAACCTGACAATTCAAGACCAAGGCCTTCAATCAGTAGGATGTAAACTCTGATAACAGGGCCACGCAGACACAGGCTCGAGGTCCCTTGTATAACAGCCACCACCCCTAGCATGAGCACAAGCTCCTTCTTAAGGGGCATCTGACGTCGTGACCAGACACTGCCTCTGGCAGGACCCCCATGTAAGGTGCACCTGGCACAAAACCAACCACAACCAGCACTGGAGGGCACCTTCCCAATGGCCAGTACATCTCTCCGAAACTCGGCATCAAGGCCAGAGGTGGTCTGCCACACCTAGGCAACCGACTTCAAGACACAAGCTTCCTCTCCTCCATACAGTCCATGTGCCTGCACCGTGCCCTCAAGACACCCGAAGGGAATGTCTGCTTTTCCCAAGGACATCTCTACCTGACGCCCCAAGGACCAGGCAGACAGGGCACACTGCCTTCCATCATCCTTGCATGGGTCACACTCAAAGGCCTTCCTTGCACCAACCTCTGAGGCAACATCACAGCATGCAGCCACCTTGCATGCAGTACCATTCTCCCCAACAACTGCTAGTCAATACTGTATGACAACCTCCACCAGGTCTACACGCATGTGGCTACTAAGGGAGCTGCAAGCCACAGAACCATCAATCCTTTTGAATTTTCCTAAGCCATCCACACTCCCTTCAACATGGCATGGCTGTCCTGGCTGCACTGAGGCTAAGTGAGCTGAAACAGTTCATCACACCTAGTAAGCAGCTAAATCAACACCAGAATATCACCAACAAGCAGAGGAGTGGAGGAATCTTAAGTCAAGGGACTCTCAATGGAAGGCACCTGGGATTAAATACACAGTGCCTGGAATGCACACGGACCTCCATGGGCAGCTCCAAGTGTGACTGAATCCCATGGGAGAGTTCTGGGCCAGGGCCAGGGCACATTCCTCTGAAAGCCTTCAAAGCTGGAAGGAAAATCCAAAGCAGTTATTTACGCATACGAGCTACAGCATATGGGGACACCTGGCAATGGTGGGCCAAGAGACCATTTCCAGGAAGGGGGGCACAATGGTACAGCCCACTACTCTGCTGAAAAGACCAGATGTGACCCAGGGCCACAGGCCAGAGCCTGACATTCATGCTTCTTGGATCTGCCCTTGAAAACCCACTGGCTGACCTGTCGTCCGCAAGAGAAATCCATGTAAAGCCCATCACAACCAGATGGCAGCCTAAGACTGCTGATGACATGCATGTCCATGTGAGCCCTCCACCACCTTTTCTCTGGGGTACCATCCTGCCCAGGCTCAGCCACCACAACATGGGCAATTCATGGCTCAGGAACTAAAAAAATTCCTGTTGGGATTTGGCTGTCTGCCATGACACCCACTGCTCTCCATTGTCCCCCATCACCTTGGCACTCCCCTCCTCGGATAACTGAAAATCAAGACCAAGGTCTGCCTGAGGCCTGGGCCTTGTGCTGTCCTTGCATTGAAAACAAAGACCTGGTCCACTGCACAGAAAATGCCCATCATGAGGTCAGGGTCTCCCTTGTGGGGCCTTTGTGCCTTCCTCTATAGCCGCCAGGCCATCACAAAGCAATGGTTCCCCACATGACTCTCCTACCCATGAACTTCACAAAACGGGAATGTTCCTAATGTGCCTGTTATACGAGACTTTCATCCAAGAATGCCCTTGCTGATAGAACCTCTGGGAACCAGTGGAAGTTGTCCCTTGTTCCTACAGTCCCCAGGGGAGGCAACATGCTGGACCTCAGCTCTAATGAGAGTGACGGTATGAGTTATCACTCATTTTGTTCAGCTTTTCCAAGGAATGTTTTTTTTGGGGGACTCATCATCAATCCAAGCACATTTGAAGGGGGAGAATGTCTGACACTGCAGGCTGGGCAGTGGGTGAGCTGATGACCTTAAAGACCTTCGGCACCCTCGGGAAGCCACGGCTATGCCACTGAGCAATGGGCACACGCCATCCACTCAGGGAATGGAACTCGCCATGCCAATAGTGACCCGATGACAAACAGCGCTTTGTGGGTCTCACAAATTTGAAAGACACCTCTGCACACAGGGCAGAGAAATGCTTACCGTCCTGAGCCACCCACCAGCATGAAGTGCACTGCAGTTGCCATGGCACGCCGAATCAAGGACTCAACGTGGCCTCCGTTGGGCGGAAGAATCGACCATCGTCCTTCCCACCAAGTGGTGGAGCTTTCATGATTAACTGCTCCTGAGAAGTTTAAATAAATCAAATGCACACTTGAAAAACAGGCCAGGTCTGCTGATCACCACGTCAATTCCATTCACTGTGCTGGACCTCAGTTCCGATGACAGCGACGGTATGAGCTTTCACTCATTTTGTTCAGCTTTTCCAAGGAATGTTTTTTTTTGTAAGACTCATCATCGATCCGAGCACATTGGAAGACACAGGATGTTTCACACCACAGGCTGGGCAATTCCTATCTTGGAAATCTGAAAGATGCCCTCACTCAGCACAAGGGCAGAGGAATGCTTACCATCTTGAGCCACCCGCCAACATGAGGTGCACCATGGATGCCAGGCCACAATGACTCCACGACTCCATGGGGACTCTGTTGCTTGGAACAATCGACCATCTATCGGGCCAGCACACAGCAGGCCTCTCAAGAAACTGCCCCTGAGAAGAGCAAAAAATTATAAAATGCACCCTTGAGGAATGGGCCCAAGTCCACTGGTCACATCAATTTTATTCTTTGCCAAGGGGTAACTCATAAATCTGCTTCTCCTTGTCCCTCACTCCTACAATATCCAGGGGAGACAATGTGCTGGACCTCAGTTCCGATGAGAGTGACGGTATGAGTTTTCACTCATTTTGTTCAGCTTTTCCAAGGAATGTTTTTTTTTGTAAGACTCATCATCGATCCGAGCACATTGCAAAGAAGCAGGATGTTTGACACCAAAGGCTGGGCAGTGGGCGAGCTGATGACCTTAAAGACCTTCAGCACCATGCAGAACCCAGAGCCATGCCACTGAGCAATGGGCACAGACCATTCACTTTAGGAGTGGAACTTGCCACACCATCAGAGGCCTGCTGAGAAACCACTCCTTGCCGGTTTTGAAATCCCAAAGACACCCCTACTCAGCACGCGGGGCAGAGGAATGCTTACCATCCTGAGCCATGCACCAGCAGCGGTGCACCATGGATCCAGGCCATTTGGACTCTAGGACTCTGGGGGCCTTTGTGTCCCAGAAAAACTGACCATCTTCCTTGCCAGCGTATGGTGGATGTCCCATGGAAACTGACCCTGAGAAGTATAAAGAAATCAAATACCTACTTGAGAAATGAGCCCAGGAACACTCGACATTTCAACACCATTCTTTTCACAGGGCGACTCACATGCCTACTTCTCCTTGGCCTCCATGACAGACCTCCATCATTATAAATATATATGATCCATGTCACTTTCTACACACCTAGGAAGTCTCGACACATAGGAGGCCTCTTGCTGTACCTATTTGCCTGTGGCTGTGCACACCTGTTTGTGTGTGTGATAGTGTGAGTGTGTTTCTCTCCCTCATGTACATGTGTTTCCCACCACCATAACAGGTGATTATACACTGCAGCCTCCAAAACTGAAGCCCCCTGGCAACTCCAAGGTGGAAGGCCAAGGACTTCAATCAGTAGGGTATGCATTTTGACTTTGGGGCCATGAGGACATAGGCCTTAGGTAACTCCCCTAACAGCTACTACCCTGGTCTGAGCTCCTCCTCATGAGGCATCTGATATCGTGACCAGACCCCATCACTGGCAGCGCTCTCAGCTGAGGCTCACCTGGCAGTAAACCAACCACAAGCAGCCCTGGAGGGTGCCTTTGCAATGGTCAACCCGAGGTCTGAAAAATGGTATCACGCCAGAGGCAATCAATCTTCCCAACCTAGTCAAATGACCTTAAGACACAGGCTTCCTCCTTGCCATTCAGTCCACAAGCATGTACTGTGCCTTCAGGACACTCAAAGGTATGGCTGCTTTCAAACAGGATGTCCCTGCCCCAAGGCCCAGGTTGACAGGACACGCTGCCTTCCGCTATCCTTGCACTGGTGACACACAGGACTTCTGTGCACAAAACTCTGAGGCAACACCCCATCACACAGCCAGGTTGACTGCACTACCACCCACCACAGCTCCTGAAACTCAGCACCATCACCTGGTCTACATGTACATGGCTACTCATCAACTGCAATCTGTAGAACCACCGATCCTTTCCAACATTCCTAATGCAGCTGTGGGACCATCAACATGGTATGTCACTGTCCTGGATGTGCTGTGAGTTAAAACTGTTTAAGGGAGCTGAAACGTTTCTCAGCCTTAGGGAGTGGCAGAATGCAACAATGGAACATCACACACCTGGGAGGTGCACGGGCATCCCAAGTCAACGAACTCTCTATGGCAGGCTGCAGGAAAGGCACACATGTTGCCTGGAATGCACATGGACCTCCATGCATAGCCCCTGGTATGAGTGATGTCCACGGGAGGAGAGTCCAGGGACATGGCCCATTCCCTCAGGACACCTTTAGGATGGAAGCTACTCTACAAGAAGAAAAGAGGATCTAGAGCAGTATTTGCTCACATGCACTACAGCAGGTAGGGCTGCCCAGCAAGGGCAGGCCAGGAGACCATTCCCAGGAAGATATGCACAAGGGTAGAGCCCACTACTCTGTCACGAAGACTGCAAGACACCCACGGTCTGGGGCACGAGGCTGACCCTTGTATTCTCTGGGACATGCCTTCTAAGACCCCCACTGACCAACTTGTCCTAGACTAGAGAAATTAATGGGAAGCCCATCACCACCTGACAAAAACCTAAGACTGCTGATGACAACACATGACCCCTTAAGCCCCCTACTGCCTATTTCCTGGAGTACCCTCTGGCCCAGGCTTCCAACAAGGCACCAGGGGCATCTAATGGCTCAGGGAAGGAAGAAATCCCCACCCAGGGGCCTGTGTGGAGGGCCAAAGAGGCTCTGGCTATCTGTCGCAACACCCTATGCTACGCACTATTCCCCATCACTCTTGGTGCTCCCTTGTCCTCAGCTCATCAAAAATCAGTACCAGGGTCTGTCAGAGGCCTGAGCCTTATACTCTCCTGGATAGAAAAGAAGGACCCAGTACCCCTGCAGACAGATGCCCAGCACAAGGTCTGGGTATCCCTTCCTACGAGCTCACCAAGCCAAGACCAGGAGCACATTCCCCTAGGTCAGCAGTATTTCCGTCTGTGACCACAGCCGCCAGACCATTACAGAGCAGCCATGTCCCCAAGGACTCTCACAATCTACATACCTCACTCAAAGTGAATGTTCCTAATAAGCGTGCGATGGGAGACGTTGGTCTGTGGAATCCCTGGGTGGTGGAACCTATGGGAATCAGTGGAAACTGTCCCTCACTCCTACAGTCCCCAGGGGAGGCAATGTGCTGGACCTCAGTTCCGATGAGAGCGACGGTATGAGCTTTCACTCATTTTGTTCAGCTTTTCCAAGGAATGTTTTTTTGTGGGACTCATCATCGATCCAAGCACATTTGAAGACACATGACATTTGACACCACAGGCTAGTCAATGCCTGCCTTGCAAATCAGAAAGATACCCTCACTCAGCACTCGGGGCAGAGGAATCCTTACCGTCCTGAGTCACCCGCGAGCATGAGGTGCACCACGGATGCCAGGCCACACCAACTCCATGACTCCATGGGGACTCTGTTGCTCAGAAGAATCGACCATCTGTTGCAGCAGCACATGCAGGCCTCTTCAGGCAAGTGCCCCTGAGGAGGGCAGAGATATCAAATGCACGCTTGAGGAATGAGCCCACTCCACCGGTCACATCAATGTCAATCTTCCCAAGGGGCAACTACTACACCTGCTTCTCCTTCTACCTGACTCCTACAATCTCCTGAGAAGGAAATGTGCTGGACCTCAGTTGCGATGAGAGCGACGGTATGAGTTCTCACTCATTTTGTTCAGCTTTTCCAAGGAATGTTTTTTTTTGTAGGACTCATCATCGATCCAAGCACGTTGCGGAGAGGCAGGACATTTGACACCACAGGCTGGGCAGAGGGCGAGCTGATGGCCTTAAAGACCTTCAGTACCATGCAGAACCCAGAGCCATGTCACTAAGTAACGGGCACAGAACATTCAGTTGAGGAGTGGAACTCGCCATGCCACCAGTGGCCTGTTGAGAAACCACTGCTTACAGGTCTTGGAAATCCCAAAGACACCCCCACTCAGCACAGAATGCTTACCATCCTGAGCCATCCACCAGCAGGGGTGCACCATGGAGGTCAGGCCATACTGACTCCAGGACTCATTTGTGTCCCATAAGAACTGACCATTTTCCTTGTCAGCGTATGGCGAACTTCCCATGATAACTGACACTGAGAACTGTAAAGAAATCAAATGCCCACCTGCGAAATGAGCCCAGGTTCACTGGTCGCTTCAATACCATTCTTTCCAGAGAGCATCTCACATGCCTGCTTCTCCTGGGCCTCCAAGATAGACCTTTGTCTTTATGAATATACCTGACCCGTGTCACTTTCTACACAGCCAGGAAATCTGGACACCTAGGAAGACTGTTGCTGCATCTGTCTGCCTGTGTCTGTGCACGCCAGTTTGCGTGTGTGCGTGTGTGTTTGAGAGAGATAGTGTTACTGTGCGTGTTAGTATCTCTCATGCACATGTGTTTTGTAGCACCGCAACAGGAAATGAGAGTCTGCAGCCTCCAGACCTGAGGCCCACCCATAACCCAAGGGCTCAAGACCAAGGTCTTCAATCAGTTGGATGTGAACTTTGACTTCAGGGCCATGAGGACATAGGCCTGAAGTCACTTACCTAACAGCTACCACCCTTGATCTGAGCACACACACCTCACCTCCCATGGGGCATCTGATATCGTGACGAGACCCCATCACTGGCCGCACTCCCAGCTGAGGCTCACCTGGCAGAAAACCAACCACAATCAGCCCTGAAGGTTGTCTTTGCAATGGTCAACCCGTAGGTCTGAAAAATGGTATCACGCCAGAGGCAATCAATCTTCCCAACCTAGTCAAATGACCTCAAGACACAGGCTTCCTCCCTGCCATTCAGTCCACAAGCACGCACTGTGCCTTCAGGACACTCAAAGGAATGGCTGCTTTCCAACAGGATGTCCCTGTCCCAGGACCAGGTTGACAGGACATACTGCCTTCACTGTCCTTGTACTTGGTCACACACGACTTTTCTGCACCAAACTCTGAGGCAACACCCCATCACACAGCCAGGCTGACAGCCCTACCACCCACCACAGCTCCTGCAACTCAGCACCATCACCCGGTCTACATGTACACGGCTACTAATCAACTGCAATCTGTAGAACCACCGATCCTTTCCAATATTCCTAATGCAGCTGTGGGACCCTCAACATGGTATGTCTCTGTCCTGGATGTGCTGTGAGTTAAAACTGTTTAAGGGAGCTGAAACATTTCTCAGCCTTAGGGAGTGGTGGAATGCAACACTGGAACATCACCAACATGGGAGGTGCATGGGCATCCCAAGTCAAGGAACTCTCTATGGCAGGAGGCTGGAATGGCACATATGTTGCCTGGAATGCACACGAACCTCCATGGATAGCCCCTTGTGTGACTGATGCCCACGGGAGTGTCCTGGGCCAGGGCACATTCCCTGTGGATGCCTTTGGGATGGAAGCTACTTTCCAAGTGGGAAAGAGGATCCAGAGCAATATTTGCTCACATGCACTGCAGCAGGTAGGGCCGCCCATCAAGGGCAGATCAACAGACCACTTCCAGGAAGATGTGCACAATGGTGGATCCCACTACACTGTCAGGAAGACTGCAAGAGACCCGGGGCCTGGGGTACAAGCCTTACCCTTGCATCGTCTGGGACAAGCCTTCTAAGACCGTGGCTGGCCGACTTGTCCTTCACTAGAGAAATTAATACAAATTCATCACCACCTAACAAAAACCCAAGATTGCTGATAACACACATGGCCATGTAAGCCCCCTATTGCCTCTTCTCTCCAATACCCTCTGGTCCATGCTTCCACCACAGCACCAGGGACATCTCATGGCTTAGGGAATGAAGAAATCCCTAACGGGGAGCCTGTGTGGAAAGCCATAGAGAATCTGGCTATCTGCCACAACACCCTGTCTTCCATCACCATTGGCACTCCCCTGTCCTCAGATCATCAAAAAATCGGTACCAAGGTTTGTCTGTGGCCTGGGCCTTATGCTTTTCTGGAAAGAAAACTAGGACGCAGTCCCTTCACAGGGAATCCCACCATATGTTCTATGTTCCCTTCCTGGGAGCTCACCAAGCCAAGACGAGGAGCACACTCCCGACCTGTGGTATTTCCATACACTTCCATGGCTGCCAGATGACTACAGATCAGCTCTCCCCCCAGGACTCTCCCACCTATGTACCTCACTCAAAGGGAATGTTCCTAATGAGCCTGCAATGGGAGACATTGGTCTGTGGAAGCCCTGTGTGGTGGAACCTATGGGGATCAGTGGAAGTTATCCCTCGTTCGTACAGTCCCCAGGAGAGGCAATGTGCTGGACCTCAGTTCAGATGAGAGCGACGGTATGAGTTTTCACTCATTTTGTTCAGCTTTTCCAAGGAATGTTTTTTTGTGGGACTCATCATTGATCCAAGCACATATGAAGAGGCAGGACATTTGACACCATAGGCTTGTCAATGTCTGCCTTGGAAATCAGAAACAGATCCACACTCAGCACTAGGGGCAGAGGAATCCTTACCATCCTGAGCCACCTTCCAGCACAAGGTGCACCATGGATGCCAGCCCGCACTGACTCCACGACTCCATGGGGAGTCTACTGCTCATAAGAATCAACCATCTGTTGTGGCAGTACACAGCGGGCCTCTCAAGGCAACTGTTCCTGAGAAGTTCAAAGATAACACATACACACTTGAGGAATGAGCCCAGGTCCACATCAGTCTTTCCCAAGGGACAACTTGTACACCTGATTCTCCTTGTCCCTCACTCCTACAGTCCCCAGGGGAGGCAATGTGCTGGACCTCAGTTCCGATGAGAGCGGCGGTATGAGTTCTCACTCATTTTGTTCAGCTTTCCAAGGAATGTTTTTTTTGTTGGACTCATCATCGATCCAAGCACATTGCAAAGAAGGAGCACATTTGAAACAACAGGCTGGGCAGTGGGAAAGCTGATGACCTTAAAGACCTTCAGCACCCTGTGGAACCCAGAGCCATGCCACTGAGCAATGGGCACAGACCATTCACTTTAGGAGTGGAAGTTGCCATGCCATCAGTGACCTGCTGAGAAACTGCTCCTTGCAGGTCTTGAAATCCCAAAGACACCCCGACTCAGCACGCGGTGCAGAGGAACGCTTACCGTCCTGAGCCATCCACCAGCAGGGGTGCACCATGGAGGCCAGGCCATACCAACACCAGGACTCTGGGGGCCTTTGTGGCTCAGAAGAACTGACCACCTTCCTTGCCAGGTTATGGGGGATGTCCCATCATAACTGTCTCTGAGAAGTGCAAAGAAATAAATGCCCATGTGAGAAATGAGCCCAAGATTACTGGGCCATTCTTTCCACAGGGCACCTCACATGCCTGCTTCTCCTTGAACCCCATGATGGACCTCCATCCTTATGAATAATGAATACACCTCACCCTTGTCACTTTCTACATACCTAGGAAGCCTGATGCTGCGTCTCTCTGGCCGTGGCTGTGCACGCCTGTTTGTGTGTGTGTGAGTGTTTCTGTTTGTTTCCCTATGCCCATGTGTTTCCCAACACCACAACAGGCAATCAAGTCTGTAGCCTCAAGACCTGAAGCCCCACCCCCGCCACCACAACCCAAAGGCTCAAGACCAGGGTCTTCAATCAGTTGGATGTGAACGTTGACCTCAGGGCCATGGAGACATAGTCCTGAGGTCATTCATCAAACAGCTGACACCCCTGGTCTGAGCACACACACCTCATCACTGGACATCTGACATCGTGACCAGAACCCATCTCTGGCCGCACTCCCAGCTGAGGCTCTCCTGGCAGAAAACCAACCACAATCAGCCCTGAAGGGCATCTTTGGAATGGTCAACCCATGGGTCTGAAAAACGGCATCAGGACAGAGGCAATCTTCCCAACCTTGTCAAAGGACCTTGAGACACAGGCTTCCTCCCTTCCATTCAGTCCACATACATGCCCTGCACATTCAGGACACCCAAAGGGAATGGCTGCTTTCCAACATAATGTCCCTGCCCCAATGACCGGGTTGACAGGACACACTCCCTTCCAGGGTCCTTGCACTGGTCACACACAGGGCTTCTCTGCACCAAACTCTGAGGCAACACCCCATCACACAGCCAACTTGACTGTACTACCAGCCACCACAGCTCCTGCAACTCAACACCATCACCAGGTCTACATGTACAGGGCTACTCAGGATTGCGATCCGTATATCCACCAATCCTTTCCAACATTCCTAATATAGCTGTGGGCCCCTCAACATGATATGGTTGTTCTCGATGGGCTGTGACTTCAAACTGTTTAAGGGAGCTGAAATGCTTCATCAACTTAAGGGAGTGGCAGAATTCAGCACTGGAATATCACGAACTCAGGTGATGCACGGGAATCCCAATTCTAGGAACGCCCTCTGGCAGGCTGCTAGAAAGGCACAGGTGTTGCCTGAAATGCACATGGACCTCCACGGATAGCACCATGTGTGACTGATGCCCATGGGAGTGTCCTGGGCCAGGGCACATTCCCTGTGGACACTTTAGGGATGGGAGCTACTTTCTAAGTGGGAAAGAGGATTCAGAGCAGTATTTGCTCAAACACACTGCAGCAGGTGCGGCCACCCAGCAATGGCAGATCAAGAGACCACTTCCAGGAAGAAGTGCAGAATGATGGATCCCACTACAGTGTCAGGAAGACTGCAAGAGACTCAGGGCCATTGGCACGAGCCCAACCCTTGTATTCTCAGGCACCTGCCTTCTAAGTCCTCTGCTGGACAACTTGTCCTCCACTAGAGAAATTAATGGAATGCCCATGACCACCGAATGAGAGTCCAAGACTGCTGATGACACAGGTGTCCACGTAAGATCCCACCACCTCTTTTCTTGGGTACCTTCCAGCACAGGCTTCTACCATGCCACCAGGGGAATGTCACAGCTAAGGGAATGAAGAAATCCCTGAGAGCGGGCCTGGATGTCTTTGCACAGTCAACCTGTTGGTCTGAAAAATGGCATCAGGCCAGAGGCAATCTCGCTAAGAGGATCTTGCTATCTGCCGTGACAGCCTTTGCTGCACATTGTCCACCATCACCCCTGGCACTACCTTGTCTTCAGCTCATCAAAAATTAGTATCGGCCGGGCGCGGTGGCTCACGCCTGTAATCCTAGCACTTTGGGAGGCCGAGGTGGGTGGATCACCTGAGGTCAGGAGTTCAAGACCAGCCTGGCCATCATGGTGAAACCCCATCTTTAAAAAAAAAAAAAAAAAAAATTAGTATCAAGGTCTGCCTGAGGCCTTGGCCTTATGCTCTCCCAGAAAGAAAACAAGGACCGAGTCCTCTGCGCAAAGATCCCACCACAAGGTCCAGGTCTCCCTTCCTGGGAGCTCACCAAGCCAAGGCCAGGAACACAAATACCAGACCTATGGTATTTCTGTCCACTTCCATGGCTGCCATGCCATTACAGAACAGTGGGTAACAGATCAGCCGTTACCTCGAGGACACTCCCAACCATGTACCTCACACAAACAGAATGTTCCCAACGAGTGTGCGATGGGAGACATTGGTCTGTGGAAGCCCTGGATGGTAGAACCTCTGGGAATCTGTGAAGTCGTCCCTCACTCCTACAGGCCCCGGGGGAGGCAATGTACTGGACCTCAGTTCCGATGAGAGTGACGGTATGAGTTTTCACTCATTTTGTTCAGCTTTTCCATGGAATGTTTTTTTGTAGGACTCATCATCGATCCAAGCAAATTAGAAGACGCAGGACATTTAACATCACAACTTGGGCAATGCCTGTCTTGAAAATCCAAAAGATATGCTCACTCAGCACTAGGGGCAGAGAAATCAATCCTTACCGTCCTGAGCCACCCGCCAGCATGAGGTGCACCATGGGTGCCAGGACACATCGACTCCACAACTCCATGGGGACTCTGTTGCTTGGAAGAATCGACCATCTGTTGTGGCAGCACGTGGTGGGCCCCTCAAGCCAACTGCCCCTGAGAAGTGCAAACATATCACATGCACACTTGAGAAATGAGCCCAGGTCCACTGGTCACGTCATTGTCAATCTTGCCCAAGGGGCAACTCATACACCTGCTTCTCCTTGTACCTCACTCCTAACAGTCCCCAGGGGAGGCAATGTGCTGGACCTCAGTTCCGATGAGAACGACGGTATGAGTTCTCACTCATTTTGTTCAGCTTTTCCAAGGAATGTTTTTTTTTGTTGGACTCATCATCGATCCAAGCACACTGCAAAGACGCAGGACATTTGACACCACAATCTAGGCAGTGGGCAAGCTGATGGCCTTAAAGACCTTTGGAACCCTGCAGAACCCAGAGCTATGCCACTGAGCAATGGTCACAGACTATTCACTTTAGGAGTGGAACTCGCCATGCTTTCAGTGGCCTGGTAAGAAACAGCTCCTTGCAAGTCTTGGAATTCCCAAAGACACCACCCTCAGCACTCATGGCAGAGGAATCCTTACCGTCCTGAGCCATCCACCAGCAGGGGGTGCACCGTGGAGGCCAGGCCACACTGACTCAAGGACTTTGGGGGCCTTTGTGTCCCAGAAGAACTGACCATCTTCCTTGCCAGTGTATGGCAGATGTCCCATTATAACTGCCCCTGAGAAGTGGAAAGAAATCAAATGACCACTTCAGAAATGAGCACAGATTCACTGGTACCTCAATGTCATTCTTTCCACAGGGCAACTCACATGCCTGCTTCTTCTTGGCCTCCATAATGGACCTCCATTTTTATGAATACACCTGTCCTGTGTCACTTTCTAGGCACCCAGGAAGTCTTGACACCTAGGAAGCCTGTTGCTATGTGTGTCTGCCTGTGGCTGTGCACACGTTTGTGTATGTGTCTGATAGTGTGAGTGTCTGAGTTTACCTCCCTCATGCACATGTGTCTCCCAACACTGCAGTAAGTAATCAGAGTCTGCAGCCTCTAGACCTGAAGCCCACCCATAAGCCAAAGGCTCGAGACCAATGCTTGCAATCAGGAGATTATGAATTTTCACACCCATGAGGACCTAGGCCTCAGTTCATTCATCTAACAGCTACTACCCTGGTCTGAGCACACACACCTCCTCATGGAGCATCTGGTATCCTGACCAGACCCCATCTCTGGCTCCATTCACAGCTGAAGCTCACCTGGCAGAAAAACAACCACAAGCAGCCCTGAATGGCATCTTTGCAATGGCCAACCCGTAGATCTGAAAAATGGCATCAAGCCAGAGGCAGTCTTCCCAACCTAGGCAAAGGACCTCAAGACATGGGCTTTGTCCCTTCCATTCAGTCCACATGCGCACACTGCAACTTCAGGACACCCAAAGGGAATGGCTGCTTTCCAACATAATGTCCCTGCCCCAAGGACCGGGTTGACAGGACACAATGCCTTCCAGGGTCCTTGCACTGGTCACACCCACAGGACTTCTCTGTACCAAACTCTGAGGTGACACCCCATTACACAGCCAACCTGACTACACTACCACCCACCACTGCTCCTGCAACTCAACACCATCACCAGGTCTACATGTACACAGCTACTAAGGAACTGCGATCCACAGAACCACCAATCCTTTCCAACATTCCTAACACAGCTGTGCGCCCCTCAACATGATATGGCTGCTCTGGATGTCCTGTGACTTCAAACTGTTTAAGAGAGCTCAAATGCTTAATCATCCTTAGGGAGTGGTGGAATGCAACACTGGAGCATCACCAACATGGGAGATGCAGGGGCATCCCAAATCAAAGAACTCTGTATGGCAGGCTGCGGGAATGGCACACATGTTGCTTGGAATGCACACGGACATCCATGGATAGCCCCTTGTGTGACTGACGCCCACAGGAGGAGAGTCCATGGCCAGGGACGGGGCACAATTCCTCTAGATGCCTCTTGGATGGAAGCTACATTCCAAGTGGGAAAGAGGATCCAGAGCAGTATTTCCTCATGTAATGGGAAGAACGGCAGGCCAACAGAACATTTACAGGAAAATGTGCACAGTGGTGGAGCCCACTATACCGTGAGGAAGACAACAAGAGACCCCGGGCCAGGGGCATGAGCCTGACCCTCGTATTCCCTGGAATTTGCCCTCTATGACCCTCGCTGGCCAACTTGTCCTCCCCATTAGAGAAATTAATGGAAACCCATCACCACCAAACAGCACAAGAATTCTGATGACACAGGTATCCACGTAAGCCCCCTACCACCTGTTCTCTTGGGTAGTTTCCAGCCCAGGCCTCCACCATGGCACCAGGGGCATCTTACACCTCAGGGAATGAAGAAATGCATGCCTCCATGACTGAATGCTGGGGGGCCATAGAGCCTCTGACCATCTGCCATGACATCCTTTGCTGCACACTGTCCCCCATCACCTCGGCACTTGCTGGTCCTCAGCTCTTCAAAAATCAGTACCAAGTTCTAACTAAGGCCTGGGCATTATCCTCTCCCCACCTAGAAAACAAGGACCCAGTCCTGTGTGCAGAGATGCCCACCACGAGGTCCGAGTCTCCCTTCCTGGGAGCTCACCAAGCCAGGACCAGGAGCACACTCCCCTTGGCCTGCAACATTTCCGTCTACTTCCATGGCCCCCACACCATTACACAGCAGCCATTCCCACCAGGACTCTGCCAACTATGTACCTCACAAAGAGGGAATATTCCTAACTAGCATTTGACGGGAGCCTTGGGCCTGTGAACACCCTGGGTGGTGGAAACTATGGGAATCAGTGAAGTTGTCTCTCACTCCTACAGTCCCCAGGAGAGGCAATGTGCTGGACCTCAGTTCCGATGACAGCGACGGTATGAGCTTTCACTCATTTTGTTCAGCTTTTCCAAGGAATGTTTTTTTGAGGGACTCATCACCGATCCAAGCACATTCCAAGAGGTAGGAAGTTTGACACCACAGGCTGGGCAGTGGGCAAGCCAATGACCCTAAAGACCTTTGGCACCCTGGGGGACCCAGAGCTGCGCCACTGAGCAATGGTCACAGACCACAGACTCAGGGAGTGGAACTCTCCCTGCCATTAGTGGCCTGCTAACAAACAGCTCTTTTTGGGTGTCAGAAATTTGAAAGATACCTCTGCACACAGGGCAAAGAAATGCTTACCGTCCTAAGCCACCCAGCAGCATGGGGTGCACTATAGACGCCAGGCCACACCGAATCAAGGACTCAACGCAGCCTCCACTGGTCAGAAGATTAGCCCATCTTCCTTGCCAGTAAGCAGCAGAGCTTTCATGATTAACTGCTCCTGAGAAGTTTAAATAAATCAAATGCACACTTGAGAAATAGGCCCAGGTCTGCTGATCACCACTTCAATTCCATTCACTGTGCTGGACCTCAGTTCCAATGAGAGCGACGGTATGAGCTTTCACTCATTTTGTTCAGCTTTTCCAAGGAATGTTTTTTTGTAGGACTCATCATCGATCCAAGCACATTTGAAGATACAGGAAGTTTGACACCACAGGCCGGGCAATGCCTGTCTTGGAAATCTGAAAGATGCCCTCACTCAGCACTAGGGGAGAGAAATGCTTACCATCCTGAGCCACCCGCCAGCATGAGGTGCACCATGGATGCCAGGCCACACTGACTCCACGACTCCATGGGGACTCCGCTACTTGGAAGAAAGGACCATCTGTCAGGCCAGCATGCGGCGGGCCTTTAAAGGCAACTGCCCCTGAGAAGTGCAAAGATAACATATGCACATTTGAGGAACAAGCTCAGGTCCACCAGTCAAATCAATGTTAGTCTTTCCCAAGGGACAACTCATACACCTGCTTCTCCTTGTCCCTGACTCCTACAGTCCCCAAGGGAGGCAATGTGCTGGACCTCAGTTCCGATGAGAGCGACGGTATGAGTTTTCACTCATTTTGTTCAGCTTTTCCAAGGAATGTTTTTTGTAGGACTCATCATCGATCCAAGCACATTTGAAAACACAGGACGTTTGACACTACAGGCTGCGCAATGCCTGCCTTGGAAATATGAAAGATGCCCTCACTCAGCACAAGGGCAGAGGAATCCTTACCGTCCTGAGCCACCTGCTAGCACGAGGTGCACCATGGATGCCGGGCCACACTGACTCCACGACTCCATGGTGACTCTGCTGCCTGGAACAATCAACCATCTGTTGCGGCAGCACATGGTGGGCCTCTCCAGGCAACTGCCCCTGAGAAGTGCAAAGATATCAAATGTACACTTGAGGAACAAGCCCAGATCCACTGGTCACATCAATATCAGTCTTTCCCAAGGGATAACTTGTACACCTGCTTCTCCTTGTCCCTTACTCCTACAGTCCCCGGGGGAGGCAACGTGCTGGACCTCAGTTCCGATGAGAGCGACGGTATGAATTTTCACTCATTTTGTTCAGCTTTCCAAGGAATGTTTTTTTTGTTGGACTCATCATCGATCCTAGCACATTTGAAGAGGCAGGATGTCTGACACCTCAGGCTGGGCAGTGGGCAAGCCAATGACCTTAAAGATCTTTGGCACCGTGTGGAAGTCAGAGCTGGGCCACTGAGCAATGGTCACAGACTATTCTCTTCAGGAGTGGAACTCGCCATGCTATCAGTGGCCTGCTAAGAAGCAGCTCCTTGCGGGTCTTGGAAATCCCAGAGACACCCCCACCCAGCATGTGGAGCAGAGGAATGCTTACCGTCCTAACTTGTCCACCAGCACGAGGTGCACCATGGAGGCCACGCCACTCTGAACCCAGAAGCCTCTTCCAATGATCAGAAAAATCGAGCAGGCGGTGGGCCTCCCATGGCAACCGCCCCTGAGCAATGTAAGGAAATCAAATGCACGCATGAGAAATGGGCCTAGGTCCACCGCTCAACACTTCCATCCCATTCTTTCACATGGGGCAACTCGCACACCTCTTATTCCTTGGCTTCCATAACTGATCTCCATCTCCATGAATATACCTTACACGTGTTACTCTGTGAACATCTAAAAGCGTTAGCGGTCACACAAGCCAACAGCTGCATGTATTTGCCTGTGTTCTGCATGCCTGTGTGTGTGTATATAATTGTCCGTGTGTGTGTGTCTCTCACGCACGTTTCCTAACACATCTTTCCCAACACTACAATAGGCAGTCATATTCTGCAGCCTCCTGGCCTGACACCCGCCAACCCAGCAGCTCAAGACCAAGACCTTCAATCAGAAGGAAGTGAATTCCGACTTGGAGACCATGAGGACGCTAGCCTGAGGTCAGTCGCCTAACAGCCAGGGGAATACACGATCCTCCTCATGGGACATCTGAGGACACGAGCAGACACTGTCTCTCGTAGCCCTCTCAGGTGAGGTGCACCTGGTGGAAAATCAACCACAACCTGAGCTGGAGGGTGATTTTGCAATGGGCAGCACATTGGTCTGAAACTTGGTGTCTAGGCCAGAGGTGGTCTCCCCAACCTAGCCAAAGGACCTCAAGAGAGGGGCTTCCTCCCCTTCACTCAGTCCACGTGCCTGCACCGTGTCCTCTGGACACTCAAAGTGAATGGCCGCTTTTCCAACAGGATGTCTCCGCCTGCCTGAGGCTCCAAGGACCAGGTGGACAAGACATACTGCCTTTCACTTTCCTTGCGTCGGACACACCCACAGGGCTTCCCTGCACTGACCTCTGAGGTGACATCCCACTATGCAGCCAGCTTGACTGCAGCAGTACCTGCCCCAACACCTGAAGCTCAACACTGCCTGAACACTACCACTGGGTCTACATGCTTGCAGCTAGTCAGTGAGCTGTGAGCTCAAAACCACCAATCCTTTTCAACTTTCCTAAGCCATTCATGTGCCCTTTAACATGGCATGGCTATCCTGGCTGCGCTGAGACTTCAAACTGGTTGAGGGAGCTGAAACGGTTCATCACCCCTAGGGTGTAGTAGAATCCAACACTTAAATTATCGCCAACACACAGAGCTATGACGCATCCCAAGTCAAGGGACTCTGTGGCAGCACCCCTGGGATTGCACACGTGTTGCCTGGAATGCACATGGACCTCCATGGACAGCCCCAAGTGTGACTAGTGCCCATGGCAGAGACCTGGGCGAGAGCCAGGCTCAGGGAACATTCACTCTGGATGCTTGTAGGATGGAACCTGCTTTCAAAGGAGGAAAGAGGATCCAGAGACTCTTATGAGCCGCAGCAGGTGGGGCTGCCCACCAATGTGGGCGAAGAGACCATTTCTGGGAAGAATTACTCAACGGAGGAGCCCACTACTCTGCTGGGAAGACTGGAAGTGACCCAGGGCCATGGGCACCAACCTGACCCTTATGTTCCCCAGGACCTGCTCTCAAAGATCCCTGAGGCACCAGAGAAATTCATGGAAAGCCCATCACCACTGAATTACAGTCCAAGCCTGCTCATGACACTCATGTCCATGTGAGTGCTCAACCACCTTTTGTCTGGAACACCTTCCTGCCCAGGCTTCTGCCACCGTACCACAGGCATCTCACAGCCTGGGAGGTGAAGAAATCCCTTCCAAGCGGGGAGCTCCTGTAACCAATCTGCAGGTGGGCAGAAGAGGCTTTGCCATCTGCCCTGACACCCATTGCTCAGCACTCTCCCCTAACACCTTGGCACTCCACTGTCCTCAACTAATCCAATATCAAGGTCAAAGTCTACCTGAGACCTGGGCCTTGGGTTCTCATCCACATGAAAACAGAGACCTGATCATCTGCACGAGATGAGCACTGTGAGGTCTGGATCTCCCTTCACGGGACCTCACCAGCAGCACACTCCCCTAAGCCAGCGATGTTTCTGCCTTCCCTAGGCCTGCGGCATTTCCACTGGCTTCCAGTGCCAACACGCCATCACGCATCAGCCAAATCCCCCATGACTCTTGCAACCACCTACCTCACACAAAGGGAATGTTCCTAACGTAACTGTGACATGAGACTTTCGGCTGTGGATGCCCTGGGTGGGGAATCCTGCAGGAACAAGTGGAAACTGTCCCTCACTCCTACAGTCCCTGGGGGGAGGCAACGTGCTGGACCTCAGTTCCGATGAGAGCGACGGTATGAGCTTTCACTCATTTTGTTCAGCTTTCCAAGGAATGTTTTTTTTTGGGAACTCATCATCGATCCAAGCACATTTGAAGAGGCAGGACATTTGATACTACAGGCTAGGCAAGGCCTGTCTTCGAAATCTGAAAGACACCCTCACTCAGCATGAGGGGAGAGGAATGCTCACCATCCTGAGTCACCCGCCAGCATGAGGTGCACCATGGATGCCAGGCCACACTGACTCCACGACTCCATGGGGACTCCGCTACTTGGAAGAAAGGACCATCTGTCAGGCCAGCATGCGGCGGGCCTTTAAAGGCAACTGCCCCTGAGAAGTGCAAAGATAACATATGCACATTTGAGGAACAAGCTCAGGTCCACCAGTCACATCAATGTTAGTCTTTCCCAAGGGACAACTCGTACACCTGCTTCTCCTCGTCCCTGACTCCTACAGTCCCCGAGGGAGGCAACGTGCTGGACCTCAGTTCCGATGAGAGTGACGGTATGAGTTTTCACTCATTTTGTTCAGCTTTTCCAAGGAATGTTTTTTGTAGGACTCATCATCGATCCAAGCACACTTGAAGGGGGAGAATTTCTGACACTGTAGGCTCGACAGTGGGCCAGCAGATGACCTTAAAGACTTTCAGCACCCTGGCGAAGCCAGAGCCACCCCACTGACCAATGGACACAGACCCTCCACTCTGGGAGTGGAACTTGTCATGCCATTCGTTGCTAAGAAACAGCTCTGGCCAGGCGCGGTGGCTCACGCCTGTAATCCCAGCACTTTGGGAGGCTGAAGCGGGTGGATCACGAGGTCAACAGATCGAGACCATCCTGGTCAACATGGTGAAACCCTGTCTCTACTAAAACTACAAAAAATGAGCTGGGCATGGTGGCGCGTGCCTGTAATCTCAGCTACTGAGGAGGCTGAGGCAGGAGAATTGCCTGAACCCAGGAGGCGGAGGTTGCGGTGAGCTGAGATCGCGCCATTGCACTCCAGCCTGGTTAACAAGAGTGAAACTCTGTCCCAAAAAATAAAAAAAAAAATAAATAAATAAAAATAAAAATAAAAAAGAAACAGCTCCGTGCAGATCTAGGCCATTCAAAAGCCAGCCTCATTCAACACATGGGGCAGAGGAATGCTTACCATCCTGAGCATCCGTCAGCATGGGGTGCACAGTGGATGCCAGGCCACAGTGACTGCAGGACTCTGTAGGGCCTCCATTACTCAGAAGAATCGACCATCTTCCTTTCCAACAAGCAGTGGGCCTCCCATGGCAACTTATCTGAGCAATTGTAAAGAAATAAGATACACGCTTAAGAAACAGGCTTGGGTCCATTCTCACCGCTTCCATGCCATTCTCTCCCACAGGTCAACTGATGTACCTGCTTGTCCTTCCCCTCCAAGATTGACCTCTCTCTTTATGAATGTACCTTACCCGTGTCACTCTGTGGACACCTAGGGGAGCACGTGTGGCCTACATGTGCTCATTTCTACTATTACATGTGCCATTTCTGCATCTATTTGCCTGTTTCTGTGAGCTCCTCTGTGTGTGTGTGTGTGTGTGTGTGTGTGTGTGTGTGTGTGTGTGTGTGTAATTCCGTGTCTGTGTGTTATGTTTGTGAGTTTGATTTTGTGTGTGTATCTCCCTTGCCGGGTGCACATACATTTCCCAACACTGCAAAGGGCCCTCATAGTCTGCGGCCTCCAGTCCTGACCCTCGGCAACCTGACAGTTCAAGACCAAGGCCTTCCATCAGTAGAGTGTGAACTCTGATGTCGGGCCATGCAACATAGGTCTAGGGTCCCTCACCTAACAGCCTAGTGCGAGCACATACTCCTATTCATGGGGCATCTGAAGTCTTTATCTGACATTGTCTCTTGCTGCTCTCCCCGGTGAGATGTACCTAGCCGGAAACCAACCAAAACCAGCACTGGAGAGTGTCATCGTAATGCGCAACATGATCTGCAACTTGGCATCAAGTCCAGAAGCTGTCTTCCCCATGTAGCCAATAGACCTCAAGACATGAGCTTCCACCCCACCACTCAGTCCTGGTGCCTGCACCATGCCTTCAGGACATCCAAACGTAATGCCTCCTTTTCCTACAGGATGTCCTGCCTGATCCTACAAGTACCAGGCAGACAGGACACACCATCTTCTATCACCCTTGTTTTGGTCACATCCACAGGAGTTTTATGCACTGATCTCTCAGGCAACGCCCCATCACGCAGTGAACGTGACCATACTAACACCCACCCCAATGCCTCCAGGTCAACACTGCCTCAACACCACCACCGGGACTAATTAATATTGTCAACATCTCCATACTACACAAAGTTATTTAAAGTCTGTGTAATTCCTATCAAAATCACAATCACAGTTTTCCAGAAATAGAGAAAAAAACATGCAGTTTATCTGGATCCACAAAAAACCCAAAAAAGTTAAATCAACATTCAGCATGAAAAACACAAAGGTGGAGGCACTTCCTGATTTCCAAGTATATAACAAAGCTACAGTAATTTGAAATAATACAATATTGGCAAAAACCAGACATAATCTACTGGAAAAGAATGAAGCACATCTCTACTGAAAAATAAACATTAAAAACAATTAGCTAGATGTATTGGCATGTGCCTGTGGTCCCAAGAGCCTGAGTGGGAGGATCTATGGCACCTAGGAAGTTGTGGCTGCAGTGAGCCATGATTTTAGCACTGCTCTCCATGCTGAGCAACAGAGCAAGATTTGATTCAAAAAAAAAAAAAAAAAAGGAAGGAAGGAAGGAAGGAAACAATTCACAACATAGAACCCTGGTTTTTAAAAAGAGGCAATGTAATTGAATAGGGTTTTTCTTTTTTTTCCAAAGAAGATAAACAAATGGGCCAGGCGCGGTGATTCATGCCTGTAATCTCAGCACGTTGGGAGGCTGAGGCAGGTGGATCACAGTGGCAGGAGTTCAAGACCAATTTGGCCAAGATGGTGAAACCCAATTTCTACTGAAAAAAAAAAAAATTACCTGGGCATGGTGACAAGTACCTGTAATTCCAACTACTTGGGAGGCTGAGGCAGAAAACTGCTTGAACCTGGGAGGTGAAGGTTGCAGTGAGCCGAGATTGCGCCACTACATTTCAACCTGGATGATAGAGCAAAACTCCATCTCAAAAAAAAAAAAAAAAAAAAATAGAAAAGAAGATAAACGAATGGCCAGTATGTATATGAAAACATGCTCCGTGTCACTATTTACTAGACAAATGCAAATCGAATCCATAATGAGATATCACCTCACATCCATTAGAAGATAAAACTGACAAACAATAAGTTGGGCGTGGTAGCTCAGGTCTGTAATCTCAGCACTTTGGGAGGCTCAGGCGAGTGGATCACCTGAGGTCGGGAGTTCGAGACCAGCCTGGCCAACATGGTGAAACCCTGTCTCTACTAAAAATACAAAAATTAGCTGGGCATGGTGGCAGACGCCTATAATTCCAGCTTGTTGGGGAGGCTGAGGCAGGAGAATCACTTGAACCCAGGTGGCAGAGGTTGCAGTGAGCCGAGACCATGCCATTGTACTCAAGCCTGGGCAACAGGAGCAAAACAGAAAACAGCAAGTGTTGTTAAGGGGACAGGGAATTGGAACCTTTGCATGCTGTTGATGGGTACATAAAATGGTGCAGACACTGTGGAAAAATGTATGGTGGAGGTACCTGCAAAATTAAAAGTAGTATTACTATATGATCCAGAAATCCCACTTTTGGGTATATACCCAGAGTAATTCAAAGCAGGATCTCAAAGATACATCTGCATATCCATGTTTACTGGAGCATGATTCACAATACCGAAGAGGCAGAAGCAACCCAAATGCCCAAAGCAGGTATGTAAAGAAAAGGTGCTATATCCACAAATAGAATTTTATTTTCTTAAAGAAGGCATTTTCTAGGTATAGAACCATTATCACTTCCAAACAGATGTCACTGACAAACTACGCATTTGACAGAGGGCTAATATCCTGAATCTATAGGACACTTAAACAAACCAACAAGCAAAAATCAACCCCATTAAGAGGTAAATATTAGAAAAAGACATAGAATGGTCAACAAACATATGAAAAAATGTGCTCATGTCACTAATCATCCAGAGAAATTTAAACCAAAACCACAATAAGGGCCAGATGTAGTGGCTCATGCCTGTAATCCCAACACTGTGGGAGGCCAAGTTGGTGTATTATTTGGGGTCAGGAGTTCAAGACCAGCCTGGCCAACATGGTGAAACCCAGTCTCTACTAAAAATACAAAAATTAGTCAGGTGTGGTGGCACATGTCTGCAGTCCCAGCTACACAGGAGGCTGAGGCAGGAGAATCACTCGAACCCAGGAAGTGTAGGCTGCAGAGAGCCGAGATGACACCACTGCACTCCAGCTTGGGAGACTCTGTCTTAAAAAAAAACACACACACACAGTAATATAAGGTCTGACAGCAATAAGAAGAGTAGCTATTATTAAAAGGTAAAAAGAAAAAGTTCCTGGCAAGGCTGAAGAAAAAGGGGAATGTTTAAACACTATTGGTGGGAATGTAAATTAGTCTGATCCCTGTGGAAAACAGTCTGAGTATTTCTCAAAGAACTTAAAACAGAGCTACAATTTCACCCAAAATTCCCATTTCTGGGTATATACCCCAAGGAAAATAAATCATTGTACCAAAAAGACACATGCACTCACATGTTCATCATTGTGGTATTAACAATAGCAAAGACATACAGTCAACCCAGGTACCCAGGACTGGTTGTATCAGTCAGGGTTGTCTAGAGGGACAGGACTAATAGGATCAATGTATATATAAAAGGGAGTTAATTAAAGAGTATTGGCTCACATGATCACAAGGTGAAGTCCCACAATAGTCCTTCTGCAAGCTGATGAGCAAGGAAGCCAGTCCAAGTCCCAAAAACCCCAAAAGCTGGGAAGCCACAGTGTAACCTTCAGACTGTGGCTGAAGGCCTGAGAGCCCCTTGCAAACAACTGGTGTAAGTTCAAGAGTACAAAAGATGAAAAACTTGGAGTCCAATGTTCAAGGGCAGGAAGCATCCAGCACAGGTGAAAAACGAAGGCTGGAAGACTCAGCCAGGTAAACCTTCCACATTCTTCTGCCTGATTTATTCTACCAGCACTAGGAGCTGATTAGATTGTGCCTACCCAGATTGAGGGTGAGTCTGGCTCTCCCAATTCACTGACTCCAATGTTAATCTCCTTTGGCAACACCCTCACAGGCACGTCCAGTAACAATACTTTGCATCCTTCAATCCAACCAAGTTGACACTCAATATTAAGCATCACCAACGGTAGACTGGACATAGAAAATACAGAGCATTTTCACCATGGAATACTATGTAGCCATAAAAAAGAATGAAATCATGTTGTTTGCAGCACATGAATAGAGCTGGAGGCCATAATCCTAAGCACACTGATGCAGGAACAGTAAATTAAATACCACACATTCTCACTTATAAGCGGGAGCTAAATATTGAGCACACATGAACATAAATATGGGAACAAGAGACAAATACTAGAGGAATACTAGAGGATGCCGTGTGGGTGATGGATTAAAAAACTACCTATAGGCTAGGCGTGGTGGCTCACACCTGTAATCCCAGCACTTTGGGAGGCCAAAGTGGGTGGATCCCTTGAGACCAAGAGTTCGAAACCAGCCTGACCAATGTGGTGACACCCCATCTGTACAAGAAAGCAAAAACAAAAATTAGCCAGGTGTGGTAATGCAAACCTGTAATCCCACCTACTTGGGAGGCTGAGCCACAAGAATTGTTTGAACCTGGAAGGTGGAGGTTGCAGTAAGTATAGATGTTATGCCACTGCGCTCCAGCCTGGGTAACAGAGCGAGATTCTGCCTTGAAAAAAAAAAAACAAACAAAAACCTACCTATCAAGTGTCCTTAAAAAAGGAAGAAAGAAGATATGAAGATACAGAATCAACCTAAATGCTCATCACTGATAGACTGGATTAAAAAATATGGTACTTATAACCAAGGAACACTACATAACCATAAAAAAGTAAGATCATGTCCTCTGCAGCAACATAAATGGAGCTGGAGGCCATTATCCTAACAGAACTAAAACAGGAACAGAAAATCTAATAAGTAGGCTCTCAATGTAAGTCGGAGCTAAACATTCAGTTCATATGGACACAAAGAAGAAAACAACAAGCACTGGGGCCTACTTGAAGGTAGAA